TCTGCCACTAAATTTAAAATTTGATGGTTCTAACTTTAGAGGAGAAAGAAACAGTGGTCAAGAAAACAAATGCTACACCGTGGAGACAGTGGGTAACAATAGGGAAGGCAGAGACTTAGCTAGCACATTTCAAGAGTTCACTTGATAGGAGATGAGCCAGGCAGGGAAGCATGCACCTATAACCTCACAGTTATAAAATTCAAAGCTCAAAGTCATCCTACCTGGTGGGTCTGAAGGTACATGAGAACCTTTCTAAAACAAATGAAAAATAAAACAAAACAACTCCCAAAAACTAAAAAAAAAAAAAAAAAAAAAAAAGGGAAATAAAAAACGCAGAGGGTGTTGTCGAAAACCCAAAAATTTTATTAACACTCCCTAATAATTAGGAGGTATTGGGGGGGGGGGGAAGAAAAAGAAAAAACTTTGGCCTGATGGGTAGTCTTATAATCTCAACACTTGAAAAGTGGTAACAGAATGATCAAAGAGTTCAAGACAAGCCTCTGTTACAGTTACTTTGAGGCAAATCTACTGGACATGAAACTTTTATGTTGAGTCAAGCCTAGGCTACATGAGACTTTGTCTCAAGAAACAAACAAACAAACAAATAACAAGAGGAAGGAAGGAAGAGAAGAAGAAGGGAGGGGAAAGAAAAGTTCCTACATTATCGTTAAGCAAAGAATATCAAAATTAAACAACAAAAGTATTTAACTGAAATTAAAGAAGTAGGGGCCATGAATTTGAGAGAAAGCAGAGGGGTATATGGTTGAAGGAAGGAAAGGGAAAATGATGTAATTATATTTTAATTAAAAAAATAAGAAACACTTGAAAATATTGTCTAGAAGCTTATTCTTCACAAAACCAACCAGCAACAGCCCCAGTTATGATTACGAAGAAGTCGCCTACATTCTCTAGCTGAAGCATGCTTGCTATCCTTCTTCCAAGTGAACGTGTATGCGTGTGTGTCACGAGTGCAAGTCTGTGTTAGAGACACGGTCTTACATAGCCCAGGCTGGACATAACTTTGCTATAACCTACTGACAAGGATAACAAAATACTGACCATCTTGCCTCCACATTCAAGTGCTGGCATTACAGATGTGTACCACTAAACCTAACTCTGAAGCCCATATTTAAACACCTAAGGATGATGGAAGGTGTGTGGTTTTTTTTTTCTTTTCTTTTTTTTCTTTTTTTTGACTAATTACACAGTGGAGCCTCACACTAACTGGTTAATAGCACACACTCATCTAATCCACAGACTGAGTTCAAGTTAAGGACCCTTGCTTAAATAAGAGATATAAAGTAGGATCATCAGTTTTGTCAACCTGACTCAATCTAGAACCACTGGCGTGTCTCAATGAGGGACTGCTAAATTAAATCAGTCAGTGGGCATCTCTTGGGGGAATTGTCTTGGTTTTATTAATTGAGATGAGAAACCCACCCTCTGTGGATAACACTATTCCCTAGGTTTGGGGCCTGGACTGTAAAAAGGTGGAGAAAGGGAGCTGAGCACTGGCCTATATGTGTTAACTCACTGTTCTCTATGGCTGTAACGTGAGTAACTGCTTCAAACTGGTTGCCTTAAGTTCTTGCTACCCTGACATGCATGTTCCTATGAGGGACTCTAAGATGGAGCGGTGCACTCCCTTAAGGTGTTTTTGTAAGGGTATTTGGTCAGAGCAGCAGGAAGGACAATGGAGACAGATAGATGGTCTTTCTCTTTTCCAGGCACAGGGGTAATGAATGATAAAAGGTATCCCAGAACCCAAAGTTGAGAAGAAGCTTGCAATTGTGGGCAGCCTTTTTCTTAATCTTTGTCTGTCTATGGTGGGAAGAAACATAGCAAATGGAGCATTCACTTCACAACCCAACTCCATGACTCCCTAGAGTACGTTCCTGGGGTTCAGTGGTAGGAAGGTATGCTTCTTAGCTAATGCAGGGATTATGGAAAAGAAACACTCTGATTTTCCATGGCACGCATTGGACACTTGCTGTAGCCAGCAGCAACCCCAGTTTTTATTGTGAAGAGGCTGACTGCAGGAATGTAGATCTACCTGCCTGAAGCCCCAGTTCAACCCACCTGAGGACAGAGGGTTTCTACACTTGTACAGTCACAAGCCTGCAGTGTTGAACTGGTGGGTATTGATCTTTAGGGTCGGCTAACGCTTGAGATATAAACCCAATGAATATGCACTTCTCCTGGTAAAGACTCCATGCTGTACTTAAAACTAACTACAATGACGGAAATGCCCCTAATTAAATATACGCTTTGGGCAAGTCTGATTTTTTTTCCCTGAGAGATAGGATCTCATTATACAGATCTGGCTGGCCTGGAACTTGCTAAATAAGTAGACCAGGCTGGCTTCAAATTCATAGATCCACCTGCCATTGCCTCCCTAGTGCTGGGATTAAAGTTGTGTGCACCACAGTTGGCTTCAGTTGTGACTATTAATTCATATAAACATCTTCACATTTGCTGTGGAAAAAATGACTATACTGTAGAAAAATACTGACTTACATATAATTAGAAAAAGTTTAAATATTAGAATTCAAATAATGAGAGAGGCATTTGCCACTCTAATTTTCTAAGATTTTCTACTTCAGTTTGCCCATAGCTCCTTCGTGATAGCAGGTCATTTTAAAACTGAAACCACACTTCTGCTCTTGGCTGAGCGACAGAAGCAAGAATCCAGCAACGGTAATTACATATGCCACTGACGCCTAACTGTGTTTCGAATTTACTAACAGAACTATAGTATCCCCAAATCTGTGTACTCATATATACCCAATGTGACCACTGACTGTAATCTAAACTATCTTTATAAGGTTTTGCCTGAATTAAGTTTATTGCCAGGAAAGGGCACAGGAGTTAGGCAATTATTGGAGTCCAAACAAAAGCTGCCCACCATATCCAATTCCTATTTTATTTATTGGTACTGATTTCCCTTTATATTAACTCCATTCTCCCTATCCCTACCCTTCAGTCATTACACTGTTGTGTGCAACTTTATTTTCTATAGAATAAAATTTCATGGCTGCTAGAACTCAATGCTACAACTTTCAATGTGCAGAGAAGAATTGGAAAAGTCAATGAAAAGGGGTCATTAAAAAGACACAAAAAACCTTGCTTTTTTAAACTTTAAGCCTAACTACTTACTGAAGGGATGACTAGGCAGTCAGAAGATTTGGTCCTTTTCTGAGGCAAGTTACTAAAACCCCATTTTTCCCTTCTAAAACATAGATCCAGTGTTAGCATCTGCTAACAAAACCAAATCCAATTTAACTTTTCCATTGCAATATTCAGCATATAAACAATCCATATCCATCAATGAGCCTTCACTTTTCAGATGGACTACTTTTACAGCCAAGTGGCAGGACACCAGAATGGGAAGGAGAAGTCAATGTCATAGAGTATAAATAGCTGTGGCCAGAAACAATATAGCAAAAGAGCCAATAGGAGAAGAGCTCCCCAAATTGCAGTGTAAGTACTCATTCGATGTCTCCCTTCATGAGGGCCTTAGAGAAAACTAGCAACAGCAAACAAAAGATGAAAACAACGAATGGATACAAGATTTCTAACCTTATGTTGAAAAGACTGCCTCACTGTATCTTCTAGGGTTTCTGAGAACCTTTATAAGCCTCAGCTGGAGCTCAATGAAAAATTAAGCTGGAGCTTAATATTCATGGAAAAGAAACCTTTTAAAATGGGAGACAGCTATAAATACAAGCAAGTAAACAGTATAATGGAAAGACAGGGGCTGACTTTTAAAAATTATATTTGTTTAGATTTAGTGTTTCTACGGTTAACCCGAAGGATCAGTAATTTCACGCGACTTTAGTTAAAACATTAGAGTTAGTAAGCTTCAATTGCATGGAGTACACACTTCACTTTTTAAACGTCTGCTGGACGTTTTCCGATTGTTGTCAAGCACTGAAAGTCATTAAGTTTACAAGGGTCTGTGGTGGAACGTGAGCACGCGCGCACACACAACGTACTCTAAGCATCAGCAGTATAAGCGCAAATGCGGGCAACAGAAAGTTACATAAGAAAAGCAGTCTGTCCTTTGAGAAATCAGTTCAAGCATAGGATAATCTAGTAAACTGCATATGCTGCGTGTCGGGCTGGGTCACAGGGACTAGGTAAAGAAGCAATGAAAAATAAAGACGCAATGAAATGAGGGCACTTAAGAGCCGAATGATGCAGACAATGCCACCAGAGGCATCTTCTGACATTCCTTCGGAAGCAGCAAGAATGGGTTGTCTTTAATGAGCTCCTGAGACCTGGCTAACGGCACAGCCTAAAATCACCACCATATCCTGAAACAAATCCCACCATGTGAGAGAGGAGATTGGAGGAGTCGCTTTAAGTGACTGATCCATTCACTAAAGCTACCCTGGCTGTCATCGGCCTGGGACTCGCGCACTCCCCGGCACTGCCACCTGCTCTCTACTTCCCCGGGAAGAGCTGGTGGCGCGCGGGCCCCGGCCCACAGGCTTCAAAGGCAGAACTAATGAAGCCTATGTGATTCCTAAGCCCCCAGCTCAAGTCTAGGTTCCCCAGGGTCGGTTCCGGGACGGCGCGCGGCCCCACGGTGGAAGGCTGAGAAGTTTCCCTCGGCGGAGCCTGGGCAGGGAGATCCAGGGGGAGGGGGCGGCGCGGGGTCGAGCAGCGCTGGGACCACGGGGAGATGAGCTGGGGGCGGTGCCGCGCGGAGCCTCACAGGGGCCCGGCTCGGGGATGCCCCTGACGGGGACAGAGGGGCACCCTGGCCGCTACCTGCTGCTGGATCTTCCCGTCCTCCGTGACGACCCAGTGCGTGGTGGCCAAGGCCCCTCGAGCCACCACGCTCAGCAAAGCGGAAAGGCTGAGAAGCCACCGTGGGCCAGAGCGAGGCGGCAGCTCGAACCGGCCGCGGACCCCTATTGCCGCCGCCATCTTGCCCCCCCCAGCCGGGTCGCTCACACCGGAAGCGGAAGCTACTCTTCGCCGTCCGCCATCTTGGGGAGGTCGCCTCTGGAGCAGGAGGAGGAGCCCGCAGGGTGTAGCGGGCTCCCTACCAGTCCCTTCAGCGTCGCTTGGGGCTATCGGTCCCGCTACACCTCAGAGCTGGAAACTGCCTTTAGTTATCCCGTAGGCTATTTGAGCTCCAAGCGTGGGAACCAGAGGGGAGATAGTAATAGTAGACTAGGTGGAGCTTGAGCAGAAGTGAGAATACTGGCTGGCGGTTCTTTTTAAAAAAGTAAGTATTAATTCCGGTAGTACAATAAAAGATGTGCTTTCGAACTACCTAAGAGAGGCATTTTTTTTACTAGGTTCGTAATGGAGTGTCAAGCGGCCCACTCCTAATGTAATGCGCGTGACATAAGGAATTAAAAAATCGCTCTGGTTAACTTATCAAATACAAAGTAGCAGTTCAAGATCTGCATATGTGATCAGTATAGATACTTAGTTTCTTCCGAAATTTAAAAAGCGATATGTATTTATAGATCAATCACATCTGTTAAGGCCCAGAAGTGTGCCTTCTGGGCCTGAACAGCAGCACGTGTCTAGTGGACTTTGGAGGGCAGCTCCAGTCTAAAGGTCTAGGTGTGGAGCCCAGATATTGGCATCTCCAAAGATTGTATTAAATATGCAAGTTTGCAGCACTTGTGGCTTCCCTTCCCCACACCCTGAGTTTTAAGGATAAAGTCTCAGATGACTGATTTGCATATTCAAGTTTGAAGCTTACTATCAACAGGTAGCCGAGTAATGAACTAGCTTAGGTTCCAGCTTCTACCAGCATACGTTCTTACAGATATTTCATGACTGCCAATAGTATGGCGTATCATTTTGTGTTGTCGCTGTTATGCTTTTTTTCTGTTGGGAAAGGATAAGAATAGTGCCCTGCCACCTCCCCATATAGGTGTTGCAGAAAAACAAACATCTGCCTCATGCTATTGGCACTGGGGCCATTACATTGTTTAATTCTGACAGCAGGTCGGTTTTGTTTTTGAAATGGAGTCCCCATATGCAACCCAAGTTGTCTGAGATTTATTATTTAGCCCAGGCTGGCCTTGAAGTCCTCCTTTGTCAGTCTCTTGATGCTGGTATTGCTGTCATGAACCATCAGGCCCAGCCCCAAGGGCAGCTTTTCTTAAAGTACTTTAACATTCATTTTACTAAAAAGGTATAACTTGGGGTTGGAGAGATGATTCAGGGCTGAAAAGCATTTCTTTCTCTTCCAGGGAACCCATACTGGACTCACCTGTAACTCCAGCTCTGGGGGAACCCATCTTTATATATGTGGCACAACTGTCATACACAAATACATATACCATACATAAATGTATGACATATATTTGCATGACAGTGAAGACCAGGCATGGAAACATGAACACTGAGCAATAAGTCAGGATGTTTGACAATTAAAATATAGATAATGTGTGTGTGTGTACAAGAGAGCTCTACAACCAGGTGAAAAAAGGCTTGGCACAAATGATTCAGGTAAAGTGTGGTAAAGGTGATGCTGGTGTCAAATTGTTAGGGTCTCGTGTGTCATTGAGTTTAAATGTAGGCAATGAGGAGTATAACTGAGTTATAAAGTAGTAACACCTTATTTTTAGGTATTGTCATCTATTGTATATAAAGTGGCATCATGATTTTTTTCTTTACAATGCTAACGAATGAGCCCAGAACCTTGCACAGCTAGCCAAACACACTAATGAGTTATGTATCTCTAGCCCATCACTTAATAACTTGTGTTTAATACACCTACTTGGCTTCAGAACTCCAAAATGAACCCCTAATATCATGTTTTAACTATTAGCAATTTTTCTTTGACATTTAGCCTTTGGAAAGGAGGCAAAATTAGCTTCTATGAACTCAATGGATCATCCATTTGTTTCTCATAGATCATAATCCTTGTCCTTTGAGACAAGATCTTGAGAGCTCTCCATGGTTTTCTGTTGTGTAACTAATCTTCACAAACGTAGTTTCTAAGGAAAAAACCTACTGTCTCACACAACTGGTATCAGGGCTACAGTCTGAAGCTTGGTGGTAGAGTTGGGTGAGGTGTCCTCTTCAAGCTCATTCAAGTTCTTGCAAGTTTTAGTTCTTTGCTGTTACAGGACTGAGGTCAGTTTTCTAGCTGGATGCTGACAAGCCATTAATATGCAAAACACCCACTATATCTTGCTATGTAGCTCTCAACATGGCCATTACTTTTAAGGCCAGCAAGAGAATGTCTCCAGTGTTTGAAATTGACTCATTACATCTCTAGTCTAGATTTAATTAATTTGTGATAAGGTTTTCCAAGTGAATAATCTTCCTTTTTACTTAAGCCCAAATTAGCTTATTTGTGACTATGGCATTTGCAAAAATACCTTTGGCCAAATAACATAGAATTTCAGGAAATTTCACATAGCTACATGTGTCTTCCATAGTCCAGGTGGATCTTTTTAAATCCCAGTCTTAGTGTAAAAAAACTGTATTTATTCAGTGTACAAGGATGTCTATGAACACCATTCCTGCCTTAGGCATTCTTAATGCAGAGAAGAGTGTTTGTTTGTTTCTTCCCAGTCTTTACTTGTGCTTCCTTTAGTTTGTAAAAATGTCAATTTTCTTGCCATCTCTAAATTTTGTAGCACTAATGACACACCAGACTACCTTGTGATATACTTTCTACATCTTGAGCACTGAAACACTTTAGTAATTTCTGTAAAGGTTCTTAGGTTTAGTCTAGTGAGACACAATACATACTAAAACTAGGAAAAGAAAATACAATACAGGTAGTCAGCAAAGACAAGCAGAGCAAATAAACTTTCTCTCCTAGGTCAGGGAAGCTGCCCAGAGCAGATGGCAATATCCTATGTAATACCACATCTGAAAGATCCCAAAGCATTCTGGGTATTGTATTCTAGGTAAAACTGGTATCACTGAGCATAAACATGTACAACATAGTTCTCTAGAAAGAACAAGGACACAACCCTTATGAAGGTTTCTGTCCCCAACTTAGATCAGTTCATTCTTGGTATGTTCTGAGAAGTTCAAGCAGGACTGGAAAAAGTTGGGCTGACTAAGGCCATCTAAGGGGTCTGCCCTAAAATTCTTTGCTTATTTAACCTAGGTAAAAATGGGAGGAATTTCTTATGTTATTATGTTATGTATAATATATTATATATACTTATTACATATAAATATAGTCTTCTTGAGTAGCCATACTTAACTTTTGGCTGGGTTTTTTCAAGTCCCAAAAGTAGCTTTCCCCACTTCAAGTGAGTAAAATAATTATAAATCTCAACCTAATGTGCTATTTCTCGTCCCTAAATTACGTGAGACAAGCACTTTAAAGGGAGGGCTTATTCTGGTTCCCAGTTGCAGGGGTTTCAGCTCATGCTGGATGGCACCATAGTGCTGAGAACGTGACAGTGGAGGGTGAGAAGCAATCAGAAGAAAGTGGGCTAAGGACACAATAGACCTGCAGTTTTCTCCACCTTCAATTTCATTCTGTTGCAAACTCATCATGTTAGACTTGCACCCTCATGATTCAACCACTTCACTGAAGCCCACCTCTGATTACTGTATTAGAGACTTTTCATATTCAAACCATGGCTCTAAAAACTCATGTTTTGAGTTTCTATATCCAGGTAGTCATGTTACTTTTTAAAAATCCTGTTCAATGCACTTATTTTTTTCTTTTCCATTCTACATGCGTTTCTTTCCTTTGAGAAAATATAAAATGGTAAATGGGAGAACTGACAATACCTCACACTGTGAATCAATTCTTAGGTCAGTATGTAACAGGAAATGTACCTACTTCATCTTTCAAGATAAAGTAGCTGTTAAAGGTTTATTTTTTTAAAAAAATTATGCATTTATCTCTGTATGTGGGTGTGTACACATGAACATAGATGGTGTTGAGGAGGAGTATGTGTCCAGTCCCTTAGAACTACAGTTACAGGCATAACTGCCTAATGAGGATGCTGGGAACTAAACTGGGGTTCCTGCAAGAGCAGTTGGAAGAGATTTTATGATGATTTCTTAAGTATTTGATGTGGGTTTTTATTAAAATTTCTTCTTTTTATTACATTTAGTGTGAATTTGTGGTCGGTAATAGGACAACTTTCATTGAGTTGGTTCTCTCTACCAGCTAGGGGATTGAACTTAGGTTGTCCAGCTTGGAAGGACGCTCCTTCATTGGCTGAGTCATCTTGTTGGACCGGGATTTTAATTTTAAAAAAGAATAGATCTCTTTAGCTTAGACTTGCTTCAAACTTGTGATCCTCCTGCTTCAGCCTCCTGTTTGCTGGGATTACAGGTGTTTGTCACAGAACTGGGTGATATTTTTCCATACTCAAATACCGGAAGAGTCTTACTATGCAGCCTACACAAGAACTTGTGATTCTCATGCCTCAGCTTCCTGATGGGATTACAGGCATGGGACCATGTTACAACTCTGCTGACACTGTTTCAACAAAAAGAACCAAATCTTTTTTCGGAAGATTGTATTTACTTATAAAAATATAAAACAGATGGCTTGCAAGACTGAATCAAAATTGACCTTGATGACAGAACACATTTTTCATCTTTATATTTAAGATCTACCAGTTTACCATAAGCAATCAATAAATGCTAAGAATATCCAAGAATCTTACGTTATAATTATAACACTTTAAGACACAAAACAAAATTACAAAAGGAAATTTATTTCAAAACCATAAGGGAACATTTACATTTAAACAAGGGGATAAACAGGTGTCTTGAAGAAGAAAAAACATATTTATGGCATGAAGATTTTCATTCAAATCTCTGAAGCAAAAGAACAGTAAGTTATGCACTATTGCCTAGGCAAGGGAAGGGGAACAAAGGGAAGAGAGAGGAATGCAGTGAGCTCTGCATTAGACATGAGGTCAAGTTATTTCTGCTGAGTTTACAAATACACTCAGACAAGAGAAAGGAAAAATTATAACATGTTCAAAATTATATTGCTGTAGTCCAATTTATTTTTGTACTCAAAATGGTATTAGACCATGGCTGATGTATCTGAGGTCCATACTAAATGGTCAGTTTTCAACTGGCAATCCCATGTTCCTACGTCTGTTCAGATTCCAAGGGAGCCTAGGTTCAGCTCAATCATGTGGAATGTTCAGAGATTATTGCCAGCACTCCATAGTCAAGCTGACCAACTTGTTGTGCTCACTTGTATCATCTAGACTTCTAACAATATTTTCTCCATAAATTATATGCAGTAATTCTCACAAAGGGGTTTTGCTTTTTTTCCCAGTGTAGAAGTAATGGTAATGAGGACACCTGTGTAGGAATTGAAACCGCAAAAAAAAAAAAAAGAAAAAAAAACAAACCAGCAAAACAACAAACAAAAAAACTACTAGCAATGACATCTGAATATTTGATTTGAATAGCAAATTTAGGGAAGGAAGATTAACTGTGGAACAAAAATATATGAAACATTCAAATGAAGAACAAAGGGTCTGAGCCACTAAAAATGTCCACAATATGAGGCACTCCACAAACCTCCCATCTGTTGTTTTAACCTAAAGACTACTGGCTAACTTATACAATAATCTGATTAATAACCTGAGAAGTTAAATTTTGAAAGTGGCAAAAGCAAACTGAGCGAGCATCTCTTATTTAATGATAGTATGTCATCAAGTCACTTTCCTGGGTAGCCCTGGTTAAGTTTCCAAATCCTAAACTATCCATCCTGCGAGAACCTGTATGTACACCAGATCTGGCTGTATTTCACCAACAAGGTCTTCAAATTTGTCTCTGAAAAAAAATCTGTTTTTAGTTTTAAACAATTTTAATCATGTAAGTATGACTGACTCAAATTCCTCCCTACTGGAGTAAAAACCTGGATACCAAGTCAGTAATGGATTCAGGCTCAAAAGGATAATCACTGTGTCAGATGACCCATTCCTAGAATTTAAAGTAGTGATTTGTTGTACACTCAAGTTCCATGGCATGCACATATACACACAACATATGCTTATGTTTGTATGTATATTATGCACATGTATTCCTATTCAAATAATAAGACCCTGTGTTCAAAAGCTGTATCCCAAAAAATGGAGGAGAGTGAAGGAAGCAATGCAAAACTTACTACCTAAAAACCTAATGTCACTTGTACACTGTGAGAAGCTAGTATTTAACTTCTATGAGTCTTAGTAGGAATGCTATACACTGCCTAGCAGCTTCATTAGAAATCAATGAAAGCAAAAGGTTAAGACTGATCATTACTCTTCTCCATGTGTTGGGCAAAAAACTGGAACAGAATGGGGAGGAAAATAAGTAAGCTTTCAAAAGTGATGGGCTTTACCAGATCACGAGCTAGACTGAATTTTTCATTAGACTCAGTTCTTAATAACAAATTATCAAGATGTTTAAAAGCAAGATTCACAAGATTAAGTCTAATAATGAGGCTAGTTTGAAAAGAAGTCAAGGCTGCAGACAAAGCATCCAAAAATATTGTTGTGGTTTTACCTTGGACACAACCATGGTCTGTTACAAAAGTAGATCATACATACAAAGGTAGAAAGAACATTACATTTTCAGCTGAAGGCAGCAGTCCTGTTAAAGGGACATCCCCGGCAATCCAATGAGTAGTAGATTTAAGAATATTAAGCTCATAACAATGCTGAAGAATGTGATGTTGCACTCAGTAGAGTCTTCCTCGACTACGATTTCCTCGTGTTCCCCAACCACGGCCTCCTCTACTTCCCCTGAAGGCTCCTCTCTGCTCTACGAAAAAGCGAACAATGGTTTAGGTCTTGCTCAGAATTTCATGGTTCAGCAAATAGAAAAAATACAGCTTGTAGTTCTGAAAATAGCAGCAGGCCTTATAAAAGCTAACGTGGTGTTCTACTGTCTTCAAACTCATTCTGTCCATTAAACCTGGACATTTACAGAAACAGAGAGGTAAACAGCAGAGTGCCAGACACTTCATAGCAGTTTGGTTAAATGCTTCTCATTAGCAAAGTTGTTGCAAAGCGACAAAGTTGGGATAATCGTATTTGTAAGCTTTTATTGTGGTGCCCATTACTATCAAAGAATAAAACTATTAAAATGCCTGCATTTACTAGAGAATTAAAATGCAACAAAAACATCTCTGATCTTTACATATGAGAAGTATCTTAAACTATCGATTTGGACAATGAGGCTGCCCTTTTGTATGTGACACAAAGGCAGCGTCCTTCGTTGTGATTTCACTGACATTCACGTTAAGTTCAGGTTCAGTGCTGAGCCTTTTTTTTAGCCCTTCATGGGCTCTATGAGCTCCCTAGAACTGTCAAAAAGCTGGGTATTACACATATATATTCTGAGTGAGCATAGGACATCTTCTGCTGAAAATCAAGGCACACAGGAGAACAAGATCATGAAGAATTGGACTCTCTCCAGTGAAGAGACTGAAGTTATCAGTCAGGCTGCTCTGTGTATCGTGGCGTATGACATCAGTCTCTGTGTTGAACTTCCTCATTGCAGCAATAAAGGCTGGCATTTATCTTTCTGATCCACAATTTTGGGTCTTGAAAAATACCCTTTAGGTCAATTTTACAATCCATTTTAAAATTTTTGACAGTATTGCTTATCAGATGGTTTTCTGATGAAATCTCTCCTTTTGCAAGAAGGAAAAAGAATTCAATCTGAGAGAGAAAACTAACTAGACTTCTCCAATCTAGTCAATACCCCTCCTTCCCTCCCTCCCTCTGTATCTCTCTGTCTCTGTCTCTCTCAGCTTTGGATGTTCTGGAACTTGTAATATATATACAGATCAAGCTGGTCTTGAACTCAAAAGATCTGTCTGTCTCTGCCTCGTAAGTGCTAGAATTAAAGGTGTTTACCACCATACCCCACTCTTGTTTATTTGAGACTGAATTTTGTTTCATTTTTTTTAAGATTTTAAAATTAAACTATAATCACATCCTGGTTTACTAGCATACAAGCTAAGGTGTCACATTTTCTGCATTTCTTCTCCAACTTCTATCAGGCACACAGAGTTTTATGAGACAAAAATCTCTGTGGAATCTCATAGTAGGCACGTGACTGCCCAAGTGAAGAGGAACTTTTTAATGTACTGTACAAAAGCTCATGGCTACTTTCATTCATGCTAATATATACCATCATATCATCTAACTGCTGATTTTCTGATTAGTACAGATAACACATTAAGTCAAAAATTATCAGAAGATAATATCCAATGTAATAAAACAATAGAGACTCTTCTGTTTGCAAAGTGCTCTCAAAAATATTATCTGAAGCTCCTAAGAGCTCTGCTATCCCTATTTTTCAGATAAGAAGCAAAGAGATGCACATTTATATGCAGTTAGATAAATACCATTCAATATAGCCCCCAAATAAGTCTTTAAGAGTTCATTTAATGCCATGAAGTAGTGGTGCAAGTCTTTAAACTCTGGAGGCAAAGGCAGGCGGAGCTACAAGTTCAAGGCCAGCCTGGTCTATAAAGTGAGTTCCAGGACAGCCAGGGCTGTTACACAGAGAAACTGTCTCGAAAATGAAAAATCAGTCAACCAACCAACCAAACAAAAAAGAGCTCATTTACATAGAAGGGTTCTTTTCTCAGACTAAAGCTGGCTTTCTTCAATAGAGGAATTTACAATGTCACCATTATGTCACTTGAAAACAGAAATCGAATATAAAGTAAAATATGGCTCAGAATATACTTAAAAACAATACTGCAGAATTTATTATATTTAGCAATCAAAATCAATCACATTAATGTTTGGTTGCTATTGTTATGATTGTTGCTGATACTGTTATCATTGAGATACGCTCTAGTGGCTCAGGCTGACCTCAAACCTTCTATACAGATGATGATGACCTTAAATGCCTCCTGTCTCTGCCTCTCTAGAGTTGGGGTTTCTAGTATTAAGCTTTTCCTACACAAGAAAAGGGGTTGGATGGGCTACTTCTGCTCATTCTGACTCTGGCTTGCCTTGAACTTACGATTCTTCTGTCTCACCCTCCTGAGCACTGGGATTGTAGGTGTGTATTACTGTGCCCCATGTAGTCTTCATTCTGTTTTTTCTTTCTTTCTTTTTTCTTGGATTTTTAAAGATAAGAGTTTCTCTGTGTTACAGTCCTGGCTGTCCTGGAATTAGCTCCTGTAGACCAGCTTGGCCTCGAACTCAGAGATCTGCCTGCCTCTGCCTCCCAAGTGCTGGGATTAAAGGTGTGCGCCACCACCACCCAGCCTATTCTTCATTCTTTCAAAAAAGAATTTATATGGGGAAAAGCCAGTAAGAGACAGACTTCATTACTGATTCTATGAGCCTTCAGAGAGAATGGACAGATGGGAAGGTCTCCTAGCCAAGGGGGAATAGAAAGTAGTGGCAGGAAGTTTGCGTTTTGGGCAAAAGAAGGCAGCATAACAGCAGCCTCACAGCCAAACAGTGCTCTACCCCCTGCCTCCGTTTCTATGGCTTCTTTTCCAACTAGCTACAGAAAACCTGAGTATTTTCAGCAACAGGCTAACAAGTCCCAGAGACCCTCTACACCACACCTGCCAGAGCTGGATCTTCCCCTTCATGGAAGTGGACACGATGGCCCATGACAATTTTCTGGTTCCTGTAACTACAGCAGGCATATTTTCCTTTTCAAGTGAGTCCACAAGAGTTATAGAGAAATGGATATAATT